GGGGGTGGTGGGGGGGTGAGAATACGATACAGGGGTTTCTGTGTCGAATCGCTGGTCTAAATGTATAGCGACTTCATATGTTATATTTTTAATTCAAGACTTGAGATTTGTTTTAAATTGCCATCACTCACGGTCTACATGTACTGCTTGGGTTAACTAGTATATATAATACACCTGTCATCTGATTTGAATTTTAAAGAAAAGAAATAAAACAAATTTATTTGTGCCATGTATAATGGAGATATATCAAAAACCACCCTACTTTTTTTTTTTTAATTAGTACCTTTTTCGTGGAATGGTCATTTACTGATTTTACTGAGGAGATGAGGATATAAACTTTGGCAAATTTCATTGAACAGGTACAAGCAAAGATATGTATTCATCGGCCTACACTCATTGTGTACAAGATTGTGGCAGAGAAGAACAGAGCACATACAACATTGGTCAAAAAGGTTGTCCCACCTATAGTACCAATCCCCAAATAATCTGACCAATTCCGCAGAAAGGGTCAATATCACACAAAACAGAATTTTAACCCTTGTTAAAGGCTTGTCGTGCCTACCGTAGATAATTGCAGTGCACAGTAGACACACACGCTATTAGACACGTGACCTTTAACGAGCGCATCCTACTGCTAATTTTGTGTTGATTTGGCGATATTTGGTGGCGTCTTTTCAATTTTATGGACAATTCATTATCTCTGTAGAAATCACTGCGAAACAGTGGATTTGAGGGGGTGCATGGTTTAAATGCGAATAAATGGTATAAAAAATGGATATTTTCACCACTATTTGTATTTTTTAACCATTATTTATCATGCTAGATGTGGTATAAACAACTGGAATAAAAAGCGCTGCTAATAACAATTTACACCTGTGAGGTGACCATTTGTAAATAAAAGCACAAAGGATTGGGGGTGGGACAACCTTTTTGACCAATGTTGTATGGGATAGAAACCTCGGCATTTTTTCTGGGGCAGATAAAGAGTGGGGCCCCAAAAACATTGAGTTTTACAGTGGAGTAATGGAAAACGTGTCATGTAACCAGCATCATCGCATAAAAAACGATCAAATTGGCATAGGGTTGAATGGTGCATGTATCTGCGTTTTTCTCGTGATGTGCAATTCGATCGCCTGCTTCAATATGACACCAAAATACACAGGGAAAGGATTTTTAAAGTTTGGATGGAGGGAAAATCGACCATGGTTGCCATGGGCAGGGCAAGAGAAATGGTCACCATTCTTGGTCCAGTTTACGGTGAAATACCCCCTTTTATGACTACCTTTTTTTTTCATCTTAAGCGGCTTTTTGCCGATCCACATTCCTCCAAACGCTTCATTTTCACTCGGGTTAAACCCCATTATCACACCTGAAAACCCACTGCATTCTGCAATTAAAATAATAAATATTTTATATTACACACTATAAAAGGAAATGCAAGAAAAAAGACTTTTTTCTCCAAAAACGGCATTGGACGTAGTTTAAGCAACATGATCGCGGAAAGCATTGTAAGTTTAGTTTACCTACAAATTTCCCCTGCAACTCGGCAATAAACGATATTTCTGGGTTGGATTCAAAAAGAGTCCTTACAACCTTTTGGCTGAGATTCCACGACTCTTTCTCTGATAAACGAGTCTTCAGGGTTCGTATGTTTCTCCCTAGTGTCTTGTAGGCCTTATGGTACGTAACGCACCACATTACTGCAGTGTGTATGTATTGCGGTTTTTGTTTTCCCTCAGACAGAATATTAAGACTGACAGAATTGCAAAATTGGTCATACCATAAAAAGTCTCTGTCTGGCTAACGTCAATGGAGCTCATATTTGTGTAACACATTATCGCTTAAAGATGTTGCCACACCTTCAAAAATGCCTAATTTATGTTTTAAAATGCGACTCTCTATAGTTCTGAGATAGATTAATTAATTAATTAAAAGTCCCATCTCTAGACATAAAATCAACACAGGCAAATCAAATCTGTGATGATTTATTTAATGTTTATTAACATGTCACCCCAAATTGGGTTGTTCTGAATACAGGCCCTACTTAAACAAAAATAAATATTGATACAAGTTTTTAAAATGTACACGCATTTATTTGAAAACACATCTATACTATCTATATCCACACTGAAGTAGTTCACGCAAGTGTCAAATACCATGCCTGCAGCTTTGCTGCAATTATTCTATTAGATTTCCTTTTTCCTCTAGATACATTTTGCAATATGAGACCGTTCCGGGTGTTGGCAATACGCGTTTTACCTGTAAAATGGCCAGGGCTACATTACCAGTGGCAGCTCCCCTATGGAGAATTCATAGTTCATCTGGATTCCCTAAGATTTCTGGCAATTTCTGATTTAGGGAGCCTTCATTATGGAACGCTAACATCTCGTCCCTTAAGCATACATCCGCCGCCCCTCGCATACTCAAAGCTTTGGCAGGGAAAAGGTGTGGCTTCAACTACTCCAAACTTCTGCTCAATATTGCACGCTGTTATTGCCCAAAATGAGACATTTATTTGCAAATCCTTAACTACTATCCACCGTCACGCGCCCACCCTTTGATCAATGTTATGTTCAGATGTTCAGATGTTAGGCCTTTTTTTTTAGCAATAGTGTATATAGATATAACCCTATTACTTTGTTCTGTTTAATACTACATGTATAGCACCCTGTAATGGGGAGAGAAATCAACAGAAATTAAAAAACGATTGTGCAGTGTCATATACGAAAACGATTATTATTTTTTTCAACATGCNACATGTTGTTAGTTTGATACGTGTTTCTGTGGTAAATTAGTGTTTCCAGCTGTGTACAGAAAACATAACTTTTCTTAAGCAGTTTTTTTTTTTTTTTTTTTTTTTTTTTTTTGGACTGTTTTTTTTTTTTTTTTTTTCGCCCGCTCGCACCGACTTTGGGGTCCCCAGAGGATGTCATCCATAAAAATAAAAAAGTGTGGCCTTAGGCAGATTTAAAATCCGTCTAGACAAGATTTATTAGATCTTAAATTCGACCACGTAAATTGAAAATCGGAGTACTGGATAGATATATCGCATTGCGTAAAACTAATATGTCAGCAATATGTACGCAGCTTTTGCCTACATATATATATGCACCAACAGAAATAAGTCTCAATTGTACAATTCAACAATAACT